TTAATCCACAGGCCACTAGCAAAGCGATCGATCGATCGATTGAGCTTGTTGAGCCCTTGCTACGAACATATGCGACGAGACACTTGCTCATATATGCTTTCTGATTCTTCTCCTAGCTCTTGAGGATCTATTAGGCCGCCACCACCGGGATCTGGGACATGTGCTGATGCTTATTCCGATACTACTTCGGAAGTCGTCGCACTGGTTGCCGTTCTCCCGTTGCTTGGAAATCAACTCACTAAATGGAACCTTAAAATTTGGGACAAGTTGGGGGTAGATATACTGTGGAGGGATCGGAATACATGGCCTTCATGTTGATCAGATGTGTTTGCAGCCGTAGCATGCAGTAGCATATATATTCCAGATTCTGAAACCGACCGGGAACTTAGCAATTTAGTACTAGCATGTTATTATAACAAGACGATCACTGTGCATGGCGTGTCTGGACTGATTCGTACTGAAAAATTGATAGCACAAATAACGTGGATAGAACATCATGAGGAATACAGATCCATTTTTGTTAGGTTGCATTTCACTAACCAATTTAGTAAAACATGCTGCACAAATGGTTATTTCGTCTGTCCCATAAAAAAAATAGGATGTGACACATCCTAATACTATAAATCTGAACAAACATATCATGTATTAGGTTTGTGTTTTTATGAGACAGGAAATATTGCTAGCCTACTCTATATTGGGCAAAACTCCCGACCCAGCGACTCCTTCCACTGCCTCGCTCCTGACCCCTCGTTTCCTCTCTCCGCTACCTTGCCGCTGTCCCAAGCGGCTACAAGAAAGGCGGGGTTGTTCCTTAGTAGGGACCTAGCTTGCGCCTTGTGTTGCGACGGAGGAGGGGGGCATCGGGTCTAGGATTCCTGCCCCCAGATCTGGCGGCATAGGAGACGTTGGGGAGGGGCGTAGCGGTGGTGGCTAGGCCTACGCCTGGCCAAACGGGTTGGTGACGACAACGGGTAGCGGTAAGGCATCGGTGGGTGCATTAGAGGACAACGGCGGGCTAAGCGTCGATGGCTAGTCCTTGGTAGGGAGAAGGTGGATCAGGCGGAGGTGGTCCCGTAGGCAGTTGACACTAGGGATGGTGGCGGCCTAGGAGTTCGGGCTAAAGACTCCTTGGTGGCGGCGGCTTGAGCACCGGTGCAAGGTTCTCAGTGAGGGGACGGTGGTACAGGCAGAGGCAGATCTCGTTGGTAGTGGAGGCCTGGAAGTCCTGGCGTAAGAGGATATCCTCGGCGACGGTGGGCTAGGAATCCGAGAGGCGGAGGAGGGTCTGACGACGACGGTGGCCCTATGGGCGGCGGAGGCCTAGGAATCCAGCGAAGCGGAAGCGGATCATGTTGGCTTGCGTTTGGTGATCAGCTAATTCTGACTGGACAATGACATATGAAGGTGGGGCTAACCGGTGGCACATGGCGTTAGCTTACTTGAAGCGGATGAAGATGGCACCAGCGGAGGTTCGCAGTGACGACACACTAGGGGCGGCTGTGACTAGACGACTTCCACTTGTCAAATCTGGCCATTTCAGGAGAGGATGTCAGGAAGCAAGTTTGTGCTAAGGTAGTAGTTTTTTTTTTCTGTTGTTATGTGTTCTCCTACTTGTTGAGGTATGAGTGTAAGTACTCTTGTATTATTTTGGCTGTGTATATCCTTTGTGGAAATAGAGACCGGATTAACGAAAATCCATTAATCGAGAAGCGGATGGCGAGGCCTAGCAAAAATCGAGAAGCGGATCCTAAGACCAGAAATTTGCAAGATTTTTGCCTTAAATTTATGTCAAATATTATTTGGCAATTCCGCATGTTGACTTAAACTTGACCTTTCAACATTGATAGTATGATCTTAGTTATACACTAGCAAGTTCACGTAAAAGTTTAGGTTGTTACACAAAGGAGGCACTATGCCTATGCTTTAACACTCCCTTTTACCCTTCTTTAGAAATGAGCCGGGAGCTTTTGCCAGTTACAGTCACAGTGGAGAAAAGGATACGGTCCATCTTGACGAGTAAATGAGCGGAAATTGTTTTAAACACTCAGGTGGACATCCACCTATTTCTTGCATGTCATCTAAATGGTTATGAAAAATTTTCAAAAAAATGACATGATAGGATAATATGTAATATATCATCTCACAAACATGCAAGTTTAAATTCGACTTCTACAAGCTGTAACAAAAATAACAAATTTGACTGTGAATATACACATGCTAGTTAGAGTTTAATTTGTTATTTTTGTTACAGCTTGTAGATGTCGAATTTAAAATTGCATGTTTGTGAAATGATATATTACATATTAACCTATCTTATATATATATTTAGAATTTTTTCATAATCATTTAGGTGACATGCAAGAAACGGGTGGACATCTACCCGAGAGATTAGAATCAATCTCCGTTAATGAGCTGATTCATGATGTTCGAAAGCTCCTTCCTTTCCAACCAAAGAGTGCTAGAATTTGATGGGGGCGTAGAAATGAGAGATCATTCACATCTAACAACATTCAGCATCTTTTATGTTTCACAGTCTGACGACATAGCACACTATTTTTTTTCTTTTGAGACCACTATCAATTTGAATTGGGAATCGACCTGTTAGCTTAGCTCCTAAAGTCTGAAATTTGTTTTTTCTGACAAAGAAGCCAAATAATTTTAGTGATGCTTTTGTGGAATGCGTTCAGAGACTTTGGTCGGGTGGTTAGTTAAATGTTGATTTAACCGATGCTTAGTGTGCTGTAATTATGAGCTTCTACTTTACGTCTTGTGATTTTTCCCCGTTGTGCTAGATCTGTCAGAATGAAAGGTACAGGACTGTACCAGTTGGGCAACTAACACTGGAGTAATAATAAAAAGGCATGCCTCATCACTGGTTCGTCTAGCGTTAGTTTAAATTTCAAAAGAGGTCGAAGAAACAGAATACAAATATAAACAACACAATTGCAGTTGAGTGGCTCTATTCAGAAGCTTTGTTAGGTTTTGAAAAATTCTCTAAAGTTTGGTAGCAACAGCGTCAATACAAAAATTCAAGACGGACGGAATTTGTCTGCTCTGTCCAAGGAAAAATAAGTTTTTGGCAGTCTGTATTACTGCACACAATGACACAAACCAGCATTCTCCAAGGTGTTTTTATCTCGTGAACAATTGCATGATCCAATCGAGATAGCAACACTGAATCTGAATCGAAACATTCTCGGAGAATCTCGGGTGAATGCTCGATGAATCACCCGTCAGTTGAATCCACCATATCTGCACATATCTTGAAAGCTTCAGTAGATGCCTCAACTCGGATATGTAATTAACTAGTGTGACAGTGTCCCAGGATCACCGTAGCTAGTTGCAACGAATAATGTCAGATTCTTGCTGGTCCTGGTCTAGTAGTGCTGCTGCTCAAGTATGGAATGATGCAGAGAAGGCGACGCTGATGCATCTGGAGGAATACGAGCGTGGCATCCGGTTCTGGGTTCTTTGATTCGGCAGCCTGAGAAAACAAGTGCGGTGTATGCAGAGCTGGCCAAAAGGAACAAACTTTGGTGGCCACACCCCAGCATCCCAGATTCACAGGAATCCTTTGTTCCTTCCTTGTCAAGCAGCACTAATCGCCTATTACTACTCTACTAGGATGCTCTGTTTGCCAGATTCTGGACTTTGATGATCGACTCTTTTCTTCATTCTGTTTCAGGGAACCCAACTAGTAGACATTCTTCCACCGGCTGCCATAAGTGAGTGCGTTGTAATTGAATAGTCTAGATAGATCGTTTGCTAGCTGGCTTATCCGTAACTAGAATTTAAATTTTAAAACTTAATTTTAAAGTTGATTTTGAGAATTTATCATATATATATTTCAATATTGTCTTTTAAATTTACTCCTACAACAGACTCTTGGACTAACACTCCCACTCTCAGAACCGAACTCGCAAAGGGGGTCTATCGATTCCCCATTGCAGAAGCTCCGTTCTCCGATACACGTAAACATTACGTCATTCAAAACTGGTCATTATACTATTTTGGGACTATTTAGGGCCTGTTCACTTTGATGCCAAAAAAAACCTTACCAAATTTTGGTATAGTTGCCAAAATTTTGGCAAATTTTGACATGATTTCTTATATAGTTACCTAAATTTGGTAGCAAACTAAATGTAGCCACTTTTTTTGGCAACGTTACCAAAATTTGGTAAGGTTGAAAATGACATCAAAGTGAACAGGCTCTTACACCGATTTAAAAAGCTGAGAATGTGTTGTACTTAGTTTTACCGTAGAAAAAAAATCCAAAACGAAGAAGGAATTTTTTTTCCTATCTTGCTTGTTTTGCTGGGCCGATATTATCTTCTTCTATCAATCATAGACGGAATAAGTTCATCTGAGGTCTCTTAACTTGTCAACGTCGTGTAAAATGTGGGGCCCACCATTTTTAAATTAATTTTTTGGTGTAAACTGATATGTGGGCCCACAATTTTTAATATTTTCCAATTACATTGCCACATAAGCGCCACGTCATGTGAAGACCGAGTCAAAATAGCCACGTAGGCGTTACGTCAGTGAAAACCGCTATCCAAACCACCATGGGACCTATATTGCACCGGTTTTAAAAGTTGAGGGACCCATTGTATCTGTTTTTCGGTTGAAGGACGAAAATCGGATTTGTTGACAAGTTAAGGGACCTCAAACGAACTTATTCCATCACAGACTCCGTACCCCGGGAGTCAGAGTTGGCCCATAACTGACACTGGCCCGTAGGCCGTAGTAGCTTATCGGTTAACAATCTCATGGGCTCAGTTTTCAACAGATCCTAACATCCCCGTACTATACGAGTCTACGACGATGACTATGCTGCAAAGCAAAGGAAAAGGCCAGTAAACCATATCTTTCGCTTTCGTCCGTATAAGCACGAAGAAAATGCCACCAAACACGCCCCTCGCGTTTGACGAGATTTCTGAAGCAATGAAACCGTCACGCTTCCTAGAAATCTTCCCGAAACGCACGGCACGTCGAATCCGTGATGAATCGCTCGCACCCTACCCAACCCAACCCTCCCCGACTCGCCGCTCCACGCCGCAGGCCCCCGCGCGCGCAGAGGCGTAGGCGAGCGAGCAAACGACACGGCACGACAGTACGGCACCAAACCCCAACCCCAACACCGGTCGCGCTCGCGTCGCACCGCCCCGGCAGCCAAGAGAGAGAAGCCCAGGAAAGGCCAAGGTGATCGACGAGCGCACGCACGCACGCACGCGGCGCCGTCAGAAGGCCAGAGCGGGGGGAGAGGGGAGGAGGGGCTAAATCGGGGAGAGGTCTCCGTCATCTCCGACTCGCGGCGCGGCCCCCTCGCCGAGACCGACGGGCCGACGCAACCGAGGCGAGCCAGCGATCGAGCGGGCGGGGGGCAACGCGTACAAAAAAACCCCCTCCCCTTCCCTTCCCTTCCCTCTCGGTCGCGTCGTCGCGTGGTCGGCGAATATTCGAGCGGCAACGGCATAACACCATTGTCGCCCGGGACGCGCGCTCTTTCTCTCTCTCTCTCTCTTCCTGGCGATGGCGGCGGCGGCGGGGGAGGAGGTGGAGGCGGCGCGGTGGGCGGAGGCGGAGGACGAGAGGAAGGAGGGGCTGCGGCGGCGGCGGAGGTACGGGCTTGTGGAGTACCGGGCGCTGCCGGGCTACATGCGGGACAACGAGTACATCCTGCGCCACTACCGCTGCGAGTGGCCGCTCCCGCAGGTGCTCCTCTCCGCCTTCTCCATCCACAACGAGACCCTCAACGTCTGGACGTACGTTCCCTCGTTCCTTTCTCCGTCTCTCCTCCCCCCCTCTCGATTGATTGTGCGGTTGAATTTCCTGTCATGTGAGAAGGAGGTTAAGTTGTTCATTGCACGGGTAATGCGGTGGAAAGGAGATGTGACATCGATTTCTTTCATGGATGGATCTGTTATACGGAGCAAAGAAATTGGTCTATAGATCGGGCGTTCGAAACATCTCTTGTCTGCTTGTGGATGCTATAGCTTTATGTTTCAGGCTGGATAAATCCCATACAACATATTTCTTCTGGCATTGGGTATTTGAAGTCTGAATCTTGAAATATTAGGCTGCCCTCAAAATATCTAGCCATTCTGTAGATTTTTGCTCTTGTGCTTATTTACTAATTTATTTATTTATTTTATTTGAATATTCTCAATAGTGCATAGTTTTGTAGTTGTGTAAATTAGGGAGGCCAAGGCTTACAGTTTCTAAACAGTCTGGTATTCAATTTACCTACCTTTCTCTCTACTTTAAAGACTAAACTCAATTTGCTCATATGGATTCTCATGTTGCAAGCTGACATTAATTTGAAAGAAACGGGCAAGGAACTTCAACAACTAGAATGCAATAGAGGGACGACTCCCAGCTGGAAAAGCCTTCGTTTTGTACTTGACTGTTCATATCATGCAACAGGTCACAGGACCACCTAACTTATTGAAAGAAGTCCCCTGTGGATGATTTAATGCGTTTAATTGTAGTAGTTAATGGAGGACAGTGGTCTAGCAGTATTTCTTTTATCGGGATTGCTATATGTCATTCGAATGAAATTTGGGGATGAAATCTTACAGATTTTGGACCATTGGATCCATGCCAAGATTCGTGCACCACCTTCTCTCCTCCAACTCCGGCGGGCTCCCCTTCTTCTCCGGCGCCGGCGACACCCCAACTCCGGCAGGGAGCATACGGGTTAGGGTCTGGGGTTGGGGTGAGGGTAGGAGGGGGGTTGGGGGAGGGGGAAGAGGGGGGTTTCCTCGGAGCTTAGAGGGATGGCCGTGGGCGGTGTACTTCGGCGAGGCGGTGGCGGCGCCGCCGAAGCCGCAGGGATGGAGGAGGGTGGTGGGCCGGCATCGGCGGCGGGGGCAAAGCAAGCGTGTGGTTAGGAGGCGGCGGGCGGTGGTTGCGGATCCGGCGGTAGGGAGCCGCCGGAGACGGGGAAGACGGCGGGGCGGGGGCACCTCGTCGTCGCCGCCTCGAGGAGAAAGAGAGGAGGGAAGGGGGAGGGGGCCTCGCCGGCGCCGTTGACCCCTTCCGGCCAGCCGGCGAGGCGGGCAGCGGCGCGGTGGGGCGATGGCGGTGGCAGTGGTGGGGGATCGCGCGAGGACGAGGAGTGGCGGCAGCGTGCGATCTGAATTGGGGGAAGAGGAGAGGAGTTAGGGTTAGAGTGGTCTACACAAATCTTGAAGCATATCCAATGGTCCAAAATTCGAATAATAGGAGGTGGCATTTTTTGTCACATGATATATAGACAGCCCCTTCTTTTATTGTATTCGTTGCATATATATATCGAGCTCGAATGGAGATCAAGCAATTTGATTGGCATCATACAACGTTTATTTGGTTACTGTTATTTAAAAGTTATGTGCTCGTATGGAGATGTATGCATTCTGGAAAATTATGACTGTGGCAAGTGCAACTCCTAGGCGACATTTTTTTATGTAAAAAAGTTATCAATGTGATTAATGCAGGAATACGTCTGCTAAGTTACTTTTCCTGATATACTAAAGCTGTTTTTTAATTTGTGAACTCAGGCACTTGATAGGATTTTTCATCTTTCTTGTTCTTACCATATACACCGCAACACAAGTTCCAAATGTAGTAGATCTTCAAAGTCTGCAGCATTTACCTGATGTGCTGAGAAACGCTGATCTTCATAAGATTCAGACAGAACTTGTGGCATGCCTTCCTTCGTTACCTCACCTTTCTGACTTGCAAAAGCTGAAGGATGAATTGAAAAGCTCATGGAATTCAATTGAGGTGCTTCCATCATTGTCCCGTTGGCACCTCTTGGAGTTACTATCAAGTTGCTTGCCGCACAGATTTACTCATTCCAATGAAACCAGTCTGTCTGTTCTTGTAAGTAGTCAACAACTTCCCTAGTTTATTACTCACTTATTATGCTACTAGTATGTTATTTCAGATATCGCAAAATTAATGATAATATGCTGGCACAATTTTCAACCGGAAATTATTACTAGGGATGGAATATCAATTCGCAATCGTTTGGTTTCTTAGTTTATGCTAGTTCGTACTGATCTGATTTCATCTGACTTATGACAAAGTTTAGGCCATGACCATGAACAAAAGTTGAGTTTATGCTAGTTTAAGCTGATGCTGACGAAAGATTTGGTTTCTATACCATGACCAGTAAAAAATATAAAAACCAACAGATTCCTAGGCAGGTCACTGCTTTACTGGAAAATCAGGATCATTAAGAAGTTGCAACTTTATGATTTTGAGAACCCTTTGTTTAGTCAGCACTCATTTTATTGAAGGTGTCTAGTTTTACAAACACTGGCACACAATTACACATACAGAGAACAATTGTATGGTATGACTAGATTTTATCTAGACATTTTTGTCTTCAGAGATAGCAAATAACATTTTCTCACATGTGATTATTTGATTGAAATTTTGGAGTGAAGGTCATTAATTCAGTCCCCGTCATCTTATATACCCCCGTTTTTTTTTTGTTTTATGCAGCAAAGCATGAAGGAAGATATAGCAAACATGATTGCGCCACAGTTGATTAGGCCAATTCCGAGATGGCCATTTTATGCCTTCTTGGGAGGAGCAATGTTTTGCCTTCTTGCCAGCAGCACATGCCATCTTCTCTCCTGCCACTCCCGTCGCCTTGCATACATTATGCTTCGCCTTGATTATGCAGGCATTGCTGCTCTTATCGCAACATCATTCTACCCTCCAGTATACTATTCTTTCATGTGCTATCCATTCTTTTGCAACCTGTATCTCAGCTGCATAACTATTTTAGGAGTGGCAACTATTGCTTTCTCTTTACTCCCTGTTTTCCAGAACCCTGAGTTTCGGACCATACGAGCATGCCTCTTCTTTGGCATGGGTGCATCCGGCGTGATCCCTGTCATTCACAAATTGATCCTCTTTTGGCACCAACCAGAGGCATTGCACACTACCGCATATGAGGTTCTGATGGGCCTTTTCTATGGCATTGGGGCACTGGTGTATGCAACTCGGGTGCCCGAGCGCTGGATGCCTGGAAAATTTGACATTGCTGGTCATAGCCACCAGCTTTTTCATGTGTTAGTTGTTGCTGGAGCATACACACACTATCATTCTGGACTGGTATACCTCAAGTGGAGAGACGTGCAAGGCTGCTAGAAATTATCTGTGTGCTCGTAGGATGTGGATAGATTGTAGGTGCCCTGCTTGTGTCCCGAAAAAGAGGACCGCTGATTCTCTCTCGTCTTCAGAAACAAAAGATGACTGTTGTTGTTGGCCAAAAGACTAGACCTGGTCTGTTGTAAAATGTAACGGAGGACTTGCTAGTACTGTGAGATACAAATTGATAATGAGTGATGATCGGTACCTGTAAACTGTGGTGTGGTATTGGCTGATTTTTCAGGGTGCAACTCACTTGATAAATCAGGCCCTATTATTCCCAGAAAATAACTATTCAGTGATACCACAGCCCCTGCTGTGCATCTTGTGCCGCTATTTATCAGCTTGCTCAAGTTCAATGCATACATAAATTGTGTTTACAATAGGAGCTTGGGAAGTGAAATGAATGTTCAGGTAATGTCCCTATCGAACGACCACCGAAACCATCATCATTCATCACCAATCATGAGATCCACTCCCCGATTTGCTACGGTTGTGGGCAGCAAAACGAAGGAAACCAACGGCCTCACCGGCTCGCCTCGCCTGTGCGGTCACCATCACCGGCTCAATCTGCCATTCTGCCGCCTCCAATTCTCCAAGAACTTAAGGCCTTTGGGGCTCCACGTTGAAGTCGGATGTGTTTCCTTGCAGCTAGTACGATGTATTGCTGCTAGTATCTACTCCTAGTTCACAGGCCGTGCTGCTGATTTTCTGATGGACTCACGAAGTCGCACACGTACGAGTGCACGTTAGAGACGCCCGTCCAAGGGCTATATTGCTTGATGGACTCATAGCTGTGGGCTGTTCAGATGAGTAACCCATTTCCACCCATCGTGCCAAGATCATGTGCCGGCCCGACTGCGATGGCGACACACAATTGTCGATTGCCTACCACAAACAGCTAGATCTTGAAGAAGAAGAAAACGACGAGATTTTTTTTTGGCATCTCGACTGCGCCCGCTAAGCCGTGACGTTGATCGTGATGAAAACTTGACATGTCGAGACCCAGAGACAGCTAACCACTATAATTGCTGTAGGTGGCCCGTATTCTCGCCTCGCAACAAACGCACCCACACATGGATCTCCTCCGGCGAGTCGCCGTGGTAGCCGTGCTCCTGTCGCTGCCGTCGCGTGGCCGCTCCGGCGGCGGCGGCAGCGATCTGCACCCGGTCGTGCTCGTGCCGGGGTACGGGTCCAACCGGCTCTACGCGCGGCTGACTGCGGCGTACGAGCCGGCGGCGCCTCGCTGCGGCGCGCGAGAGGGGAAGGATGAGTGGTTCCAGCTGTGGCCGATCGACGCGGCGGCGAGCGAACCCGCCCAGGCCCCCTGCCTCGCCGAGAAGATGAGCCTCGTCTACGACCCCGTCGCCGACGACTACCGCAACGTCGCCGGCGTCGTCACCAGGGTCCCCTCCTTCGCCTCCACCCGCGCCTTGGTTGGGTGAGTATCACTGTGTCACGCTGTCACTGTGTCAGAGTATGTCTTACGTCGTACTAACAATCGTACGCACGTGTATCAATGCCCGTGCATCACCAGGTAGATACTCCTAGATAGATGGGCAGCCAAAATTTATCGGAATTGCTAGAAAACTTGCGACAGTTTTCTCCAAAGAAAACAGTCGAATTTGCAGCCCTTAGATCCGCTCCGTGATTCATGCGGGCAAGAAGGAAGAAAACAGCTAAAAATATTGTCATAGACAGGAGTCGAACCAAGGCCCTCCCCTTAAAAAGGACAGCATAACAACCACTAAGCTAGCTCAAGTATACGTTGAATGTGAAATTACATTTTGGTTACATTTTACTTACGCTTTAATTAACTACACAATTAGTCCCCTGTTTTCATCTAATTTTTGGATAATCTTGTTATATTTCACTCTCTTACGGGCTTGCTAGCAATGACGTCGCTGTTGGATGCAAAGGCTAAAAAAGTTTGAATGTTTGGTACCTAGTTTCTGTCGAACGTCCTATACGTATTCACGTGTTTTAATCTACTTACATAGCACTTACACTCTAGTTACATAGTAGTTACGTAGCACTTACATCCTAGTTATATAGTAGTTACATAGCACTTATATCCCAGTTATATAGTAGTTATATGATAGTTATAGGGTAATTACATTATATAAAATTAGGATTTACAATTTTTTTAAGATCATGCATATTACTTTTGAATTATTTTTCCCTTATATATGTTGAACAAATTCTTACCGTTGAATCAACCTAGGCATAAGATTAGTGGTTTGTACTTGTGTGGACCCGTTTCAACAGATCCTATGGTTGAAAAATTTGAAAGTTTTGAGTCTCAAAAACTGTCAACAACTCACTAGCTACTTCCAAATTTATTTACTATTTATTTATTCTTGTCTGACTGGCAGGTGGGACCCACTGGTGCGGCAGCTGGAGGCGATGGGCCACCGCGACGGCGGGAGCCTCTTCGCCGCGCCCTACGACTTCCGCTACGCGGTGGCGCCGCGGGGCCACCCGTCGGCGGTGGGCGAGCGCTACTTCGCTCGCCTCACGCGCCTCATCGAGAGGGCGAGCCGGCTCAACGGCGGGCGGCCTGCCGTCGTGGTGGCGCACAGCTTCGGCTGCGCGCTCACGTACCAGTTCCTGCGCGCCCGCCCGCTCGCCTGGCGCCAACGCTTCGTCAAGCACGCCGTCCTCCTGGCCGCCGCGCTCGGCGGCTTCGCGGAGGGGATGGACGGCCTCGCCTCCGGCGCCGGCTCCGGCCTCCCCAACCTCGCGCCGCCGGCGAGGGCCAGGCTTGCGCGGAGCCAGCAGAGCGCGCTCTGGCGCCTGCCGACGCCGATGGTGTTCGGTGACCGGCCGGTGGTGGTGACCAAGAACTCGACCTACTCCGCCAACAACATCACCGAGTTCCTCGACGCCATCGGCTTCACGGAAGGGGTCCAGCCGTACGTGACACGGGTGCTGCCGATGTGGCGGGCGCTCCCGGCGCCGATGGTGCCGGTGACAAGCATGTACGGGGTCGGTGTCAGGACGCCGGAGACGTTCGTCTACGGCGAAGCTGGGTTCGAGGGGACACCGGAGGTGGTGTACGGCGACGGCGACGGGAACATGAACATTGTGAGCCTGATGGCTGCGGAGGAGTGGTCTGGGGTGGAAGGCCAAATCTTGAAGGTGGTCAGGTTGCCAGGTGTTAGTCACGTTGGCTTCTTCAGCGATCTTGCTCTCAAGAAAGTAGTTGCTGAAATACAGAAGGCAGTTAGCAGCATAGAGGTACACAGGAAAGAGAAAATCTTCTCTTTTCTGAATAATTTTGAATTTACAATTCCTGTGCCACTAGGATGGTGATGTCCATATGTCATTACTGATCCGTGCAAATAAATAATAGCAATAATTTTGGCTGCTGTAAGTAGGCAATTTATGGGTGACTAGAAATGATATGATTTTTTTTAGATAAGTTAGTTTGGTACCCCTCTAACTATGGTTGATTGTCGGGGTCTTTACTGTAACAGTGAAGGATGTTGATGAAGCCGAAAGATGCACGCTAAGGCTGGGGCTCTTTGATCTCGGTATTGCTTGAAGCTGCTGAGAACTTGCACTCCGAGGTGGGAATGGAATGATGCTGGCTTACCTTGCGAAGGATTCTGATCTTAGTGTTACCTATAGTGTGACTGTATTTAGTTTCTGGTGTTGCTGCTTAGTTGTCTAGGTAGGCTAGTTGCTTAAGAACCTCCTGTCTTTTGGGTGACCTATGTGCCCATGGTGCTTAATAGGTAAAGCTGGTTTTGCCTAGGTGGGACTTATGTTTCTGTGAGAATGACTAAAGTTTAGTCCCTCCTTCCCAAACACTACCCTAGTATCCATCTTTTTTGCTTTCTAAAAAAACAGGGCTATGTAAGAGAACTCTTTTAATCACTTGAATTAACATCCACACGTTTATTACATATTAATTAGTTATGATTTTTAAAAAATATCAAGATAAATTAATATGTAATATATCACTTCACAAATATATACAGGTTCAAATTTCCAACTTATACAAGCTATAAAAATAATAAATTTAACTATAAATGTATATATACTACCTAGAGTTTAATTTGTTACTTTTTATAACTAGTCGTCAGAGTACGGAACTCCTTTAACAGGAAGCTATGCGCTCCCTAGGTGAGTTTAGCTAGGGTGCAAGTTTCAAGCTCAAGTCATGATCCTGCGAAGGGAATAAACACAAGCATGTATACATATTCGGCTCGTACGGATACGTAATACCCTATTCATGTATGGTGGACGATGGATGGTGAAGAGGATTACAAGTAAGATATGAAAGATTCTAAGTGAGAAGGAGAAGATCTTTGCTCGCACGGTGTTTGGCTAGTCTAGAAATGTGAACCCTTTTCACGGTGGTATGGATCCTCCTTTTATACATTAAGTGGAGTCCACAATACTATTGCACGCATGCAGGAGTGGGTCTCACTTCTCTAAACTTAATATACTTACTCTTGTTGTTGTCACTTCAAGCCAGTTGGCCAGATGTGACGACCACAGCTACTGATTGACAAATGGAGTAGAAAGGCAAAAGTCTTTGTTCCAACTTCCACGGGTCCACGTGTTAGCAACAATAGTCCACAACGGTGCCCCCGAAGGGAGGATGTTGAGGACACACCACGTCGTACGTCTCGTTCTCTTCGGGACGATGTGCATGCAAGGCACTACATGCACAGCCACATCTCCTATATTTGTGGATGAGCTGTGCACCGAGTTTGTACCACCCCATAATCAATGTAATGTGATGATTTAAAAGTAACCACGGTACTAAGTCAACTCTCCTTAATAGGGTAACCCCTCTAAGGAGAGCCTAGGGCGTCCTCAGGACCCTAATTAGCTTGCTTATTTGTGTAGTGATGTATTATATATTAATATATCATGTCATTTTAGAAAAAAAAAGATAGAAATGTAGGATATGTACATATACTAGTTAAAATTTAATTTATTATTTTTGTTACAACTTGTAGAAGTCGAATTTTAATTTGCATATTTATAAAGTGATATGTTGCATATTAGTCTATTTTATCAAAATTTTATTATTAATTTATTATCATTTAATCGATATGTGATAAACAAGTGGACATCCATTCAGGTGATTAGAGTCCCTCTTCGGGCTATAAACCTTTCCTCTTAAAAAAAGGTAGGATATTTTAGTTTGCTACCGTATAGAATCTTTGCCAAAATTCTGGCAAGACAAGGTGGTCTGGTCAGATACTCAGATAGCAAAGGCCACAAAGCTCCATTGGAAGTGTGGAAATTTTGGTATGGTTCAAAACTTCAAATTGCATCGATTCAAACCAAACGTGCCTACGACTCTTTGCCACCCAACGAAGCTTCAATAGAGTCAGGACAGACGGGCTAAAATAGTTGGGCTTTCTGGCCCAACATCAGTCATAGTCGGCTTCGTCAGCCTGGATGACAGCCGAACACTTCTCTTTATCGAACGGCTCCAGTTATCTCGTCCCCTGACAAATCCTTGTTTGGGCTCTATAGATGATAGGCACTCTTCTAACATGGGCTGCCCATGTGCACACGCCCATGCGCTACTTGGCACAAGCCTGGAAATCATCACTTCAACGAAGCAACGAACACTTGCCCAACATGAAACTGTCAGATGTGCCCGCTTTCGAGTCGTCTACCCAAGGAAATGTCCCTGTAGCGCACGAACACGACAGGTCGCGATTTTGCGAGTGCTCGTCGTATCGTTCGTCCTGTAACGATTTCGCGACGAGACGGAGCAGCAGCTAGCCATCTAGCGAGGACCACCATTATCCCGCGGGCCCTTTCGATGGGCATCTTTCGGCCCCATTACCCCGCGCAGTGAAGTTGATGGCGCTAGGCCATCCGGGTCCAGCCAATCGGAGGAGGGGAGATGGGCCCGGATGCCTGTGTGGTTCCAAGTCCTGTCGTTGGTTTGGCTCTTTTCCGCCACTTCCACGGTTTCAAAGCAACTGGATCTTCTGCAGATCAGTACAGTGGAGTTAGCTGGAGGCCTGGACCTTTGATTTCTTGAGATTTTGCTCAACATAAATGGCGCAGGTTATCTGTCGTTTCTTTTTCTGTTATGGCCATGGGTGTGAGTATGCTTTAGGTCTATCATTTTCATCAAACCTTTGTGTCCCCGTCAGTGGTATAAGCTATTTAGAAAAGCTTGAGAAATTCATGTGTTTACTTCCGGACATTGTGTTTTTGACTAGTCCATTTAAAGCTATCTTGATTTGTAGGGAAAACATTTGAATCTTGGAAGATTTCAATCTATAGAAAAAAAATCTTATGAAGTACTTTCAAATAGAGAATTGAATTGTATCCTATCTTTAGAAATTACTATGAAATCGACAACAAAAAGTTAGCAAGAGCTTAAACGGATTGAAAATTTCCATGTGAGAATATTCCATTTGTTAGTTCTTACGGTCTATTCATACGATCATTCTTATATTTTTCGAAGTTTGTTTTGCAATTGAATTTCTATCAAAATTAAATATTTTTTCTATTCCTTTATGTTTTCGATCCTGCATTTTAAAGAGCTTTAGTTGATATTTTTTTCCACCGATCGATTCGGTAGCACCTGATGGACATATATTTTCTTTCCAAAATGGTCCAGAGCGGGAATTTCTTGTAGCGTATAGCCCCAAGACCGTGGGATCCATACCAGCCAAACGAGTCCCCTACCGGCAGGGCAAGGGAAGCAATCAAACGGATCCACGTCCACTCCGTCAGTTCATCTCTTCACCACCACCCACCTCTACGACCACGATTACTCCTATCATCTTCCTCTCTCTCCCTCTTCCCATCCAATCCTGTTAACAAGTGTTAGCTGAGAAAAGAAAAGAAGCGAAAGCGTTGCTGCTGCTAGCTACAAAAACCCGACCAGCACTGGTCCTTGAGAAAGCGAAGTGCAACAGATCGATCAAACGCTTGGTGAGGTCACGGTCAAAGCGAGGAGGAGGGGAGCGAGGCACGGAGGAGGCAGCTTGCAAAGGTGGTTGGCAGCACCGAGAAATGCCCTCCTCGATTGCTGCTGCTGCTGCTGCGTGCCGTCCCCCCCTCACCCTCCCCTCCCCTCCCTCTGCCTTCCGCTGTGCTGGCCCATCCGCCCATGGCACATTGGCATGGCTCGCTCGCTGGCTGCATCCCCCACCCCAAACCTTGGACCACATTGACCGGTCAGACAAGAGGCCTCAACCCCACCCCGTCCCCGCGCGGCACACTGCACACCGCCACCCCCCGTGCATGCGACGCCACGCGCTACGGTTTCCGTCTCCTCGTGAGCCCCAGCGCCGCACACCACACGCCCTGTCGCGGTGTCGCCCCCGTCCTCCTCCGGATTAGTAGCCTACGTCGCTGCCTCCGGATTATTTTGATTACTACTACTAGTAATCAGACCCTGTTTACATCCCTGATAAAATTTTACACGCTATCACATTAAATATTTAAATAAATATATGAAGTATTAAATATAGAAAAAAAAACAAATTACACAGATTACGTGTAAATTACGAGACAAATCTTTTAAATCTAACTACGCCATTATTTAACCATGTGGTGCTACAATAAATACTCCATCTGTACTCATAAAGAAAATCATTTAGGACAATGTTTAAGTCAAACCTTGGGAATATAAATCATAAATAACTCTCAATTTATTGAGTTTAAAAATATAAAAAATATATAAATAGATTTATCATGAAAAATAATTTGATAAAAGTATACATGCATCGCCTGGAGCGTAGCGTGATGATGATCGTAGCAGCAGCGCGCGGTTAAGTTATTGCTGTTTGGGTCGCGCGGATGCCGGTGCGGGGGCTGGCTATCTCGGCGAGGGGGAAAGCGACCCTGTCTCCCTGATGCCGCGCTGATTTGTTTTATGGCTGCTCAGACAGCTGCTGTTCTTCTCCTTTGTGCTTGTGGTACTAGAGTTGTACTATACTACCACTACCAATTGGAGTATTTTAGCCGGGGGGGGGGGGGGGTTAGAGCAAGTTTAATAGTAGAGCTCACTACTTACTATTAGTTAATGTTAAAGCTAACATATATAGTATGTTGGCTATAAGGTTATCTTTATTTTCTTCATCCTCTCTCTCTCTCACCATGAATTTAATGCATATTTTTTAGAGTTTGTGTGCAGTTAGCTCTTGCATGAGAGCCAACACTCTCTACTTTTTTTATCTCTCTCTTCCACATAAGCATATAGCTTGCTTATAGCCCACTATTATCCTTTTTATCTCTCTCTTTCACATAAGCATATAGCTTGTTTATCCTTACTCTTATAAGATGCTCGCTTTCTGCCTCTCAGGGACAGACCGGATTAATTAGCAGCGCGCGCATCGCACAGGCTTTTGACAGTTTTATTATAGTGCTGCTGCGTCGTCCCAGTGACCGTCAGGGCGGTTTTGGATGCACGTGGACGCTGACACTAACCTGAAAGATGGGTTCAAGGTGGGTGCGTACCCATGCTAGCTCAATGCCACTTGAATTCACAAATGTTTCGCCCGGGTGAGGCCATGTACTGTAGTACGATGGTTTGATTCAGGTATAGGAAAGCTTTGAAAGAAATGATCGTAAAACTAAAAATAAAACCTCGTAAAAACACATGCATAAAAAGACAGAAACCAAATGCCATACTAATTGGATTCCTATGAAATTTCATAATTCACAAAAAAATCAAAACTATTGTTCGATTGGCACGCATGAAAATCACAAGAAATCAATACACCTGAACAAGAAAACATGAGGTGAGATTTCACTTTTATTCTTAGACAAATTTGCTTCTGCTATTCCATAGGAATTTTACAAGAATTGCTAGAAATCGATCATTTGTTTCAAAGGATTTCATAGAGTTATTTTTCTCAGAATACAAATCCTCTATAAATTATATGGAGTGAAGTGCATGAGCGGTTCTT